AACGGTCAGAGAGTTACCTGCAGACGAATAATTGCTAACAAATTTTGTGAATATTTTACATCTCTTGCAAGTAATCTCAATAAAAATGCACTGACGAACAATAGTATTTCTCTGGAACCAATAGAATCATTTGCTCAGTTCATGTCAAACTCAGTATCTGACTCCATTTATCTGGAAGAGACTAATGAAGACGAGATAATCGAGGTCATCAAAGATTTTCAAAATGGCAAGGCGAGTGACATACCAATAATTGTTGTAAAGAAATCATCAAAGCTCATATCTGGTACCTTGGCCAGGCTTTACAACAAATGTATACACAGTGGTACATTCCCGAGTATTTTTAAAACTGGTAAAGTTATTCCTATTTACAAGAAAGACAGTAAGGAATGTATTGAAAACTATCGGCCTGTATCAATATTACCTTTATTTGGAAAAATTTTCGAAAAGATCATTTACAAACGGCTCTATAATTTCTTCACATCTAAAGGTGTATTGACAGACTCACAGTTTGGATTTAGAAAAGGTCATTCCACCACTCATGCTCTACACAAATCTATAGACTCCGTTACAAAGACTCTAGCTGGCAATAAACATGTCTTAGGAATATTCATTGACTTAAGCAAAGCCTTCGACACCCTTGACCACAACATTCTTCTAAGCAAGTTAAACTCCTATGGTATTAGGGGCACAGCACTTACCCTACTTAAAAGCTATTTGACTAACAGAAAGCAGTATGTTATGTATAACGATGTACCATCAGAAACAATGGATGTGAAATTTGGGGTACCACAGGGGTCAATTCTAGGGCCATTACTCTTTCTACTGTATATGAACGATATAGTGAACTGTTTTTCAGACAGTGAGGTGAAATTTGTACTTTATGCTGATGACACTAATATCTTTATATCAGGACCATCTAGAGAAGCAACATACAAAAAAGCAAACTTAGTTCTTAAACATGTGTCGATTTACATGAAATGTAATCTACTCCATATCAATATGTCTAAATGTTGCTACATCCATTTTAAACCTGCCTCTGAATATGATGAGACCTGTGCAAGGACCAGACCATTTGCTAACCTGCTAGATGAGTCTAGGTCAATATTCATCGATGGTAAGGTTATTACTAAAGTCAAGGATACCAAATTCCTAGGTATTGTTATAGATAGTAAGTTAAACTGGGCTGCCCATATGCACTACATTCGTAAAAAACTTCGGTCCATGACTGGTGCAATCTGTAGAATTCGACACTCGATACCTGGTGAACTATATTTGAAAATATATAATGCTCTCTTTGAATCACATCTCAGTTATGGTATAAGTGTTTGGGGCGTTGTCCTTAAAGAACGATCAAATGACAGTATTTTTATCACACAGAAGCACTGTGTAAGGATCCTTTTTGGTGATCTCGACTCATATTTAGATAAACAATCAACATGTGCACGTACTAGACCGTATGGTATGCAAAAATTAGACCATAAACACTTTGAAAAGGAGCATACAAAACCCATTTTTAATAGACTAAAAATTCTAACGGCTCAAAACTTGTACAAATATCACTGCATTTTAGAATTCTCTAAGATTATCAAGAGCATTAGAGCATTACCAAGGCGATTGTAAACAAAATATTTTTTGTCAAAATATTTATGTTTCACTTTAGTTTAAGTTATATTAATATAATAAATTCAAATCTTATGATATTGTTATTATCTTAACAGTTACTATTGTAGCTTAAGATTTTAAATTTGTATTCCTTGTATTGTATTCCTTTGTATTCCTTGTATTCCTTGTATTCAAGTACCACTGCCCCTACTCCCTTTATGAGGCCATCAACATTTCAAACCGTGCAACAAGTCTAAATGTTATTCTTCTAAATAAATCAAATACCTTTTTGTTTAATGCAGCCAAGCTTTGGAACACAGTTCATAAAAAAAAATTCTAACTTCAAGCAATTGCCTAGAAACTTCCATTAACTTGATAAAATTGAGAACCAAAGCACTATTAGTACAATCACAGGCAGCCGACTTAAAAGATACCTGGACTCCAACCAATTTTAAATTGCAGTAATTAAATTGCACATGCAGCGGCACACACCTAATATTACTATCATGATTGAACTATAAGCTGTTAAGCTTTCAGATCCATTTTTAACCACTTGATGTCATTTTTTTAATAATTAAATATTTTATTTTACAAATTTATATCAGATCGAACCTATATTTGATAATCGAACCTATATTCGATAGTTAAATTTATGCGATAAATTGATATTGATATTATTATTGTTGAGTGAAGTTAACTCCTGAGATAAATTTTATTAATTTTTAACAAAGGGACTTGGAGTATAAACGACCAAGTTCGCATAAATGCCTACCCAACCAAGAATTTAGGAGGCAAGGCTGGGTGCGTAAACTTTACGGTCTGCACTCTCCGATCCTGTATCACCCTGGATTCTTTTTGACGTATTTTTGTAATAGGTATATACCTTTATCCATTCTCTTGCTACTCCAAGTCCCCTAAGATATCTGGTAAAAAGGTCCTGCTAGTTATATATAAAATATATTTATGTTTGCTTTAATTGATACTAAATAAAATTGTTGTTTTCTTGAATTGTTGTTTTCTTGCGCATCCCACTACAGGTAATCTATTATGATTTGCCTCGATTTGGGGGTCCAGGACCCTTTGCAATTTGACTGCTATATGATACTGCGCGGCTGAGATCGTACACGTGTGGTGTCCTGTTTCGCCCATGTTATAAGTTTTTGTTTTTGTTTGCTGTCGCCTGTAAAGTGTTACACATTACATTTACAAGGCCCTGTGTGTAATGTAATCGGTAGTTTGGAGGGATCAGCTTGAGCCGGCTCCCAAGCCCCCCTCCCCCAGTCCATCGATTGGACCCCCAACAAAACTGCCAGCCAGCTCCCACAAGCCGCCTCTGGTTTGCAAACGTTTTTGCTTACAAAATAGTCATAGTTATATTTTAAAATTTCAACTTTCTATTGGGCACTTAGCGACTAAATAATAATCCCACATTTATGCTCCCTCCAGCTCCCCACTGTACTTCAAATAAATTTCCTGCACTAACAAATCTATATGATCTTAGGATGAAAAATACGCTGAAATAACACTAGTATAGTAGATATAGTAGTATTACGTTTACAATAGTAAAACAAAGTAAATTTCCTGCACTAACAAATCTATATGATCTTAGGATGAAAAATACGCTGAAATAACACTAGTATATAGTAGATATAGTAGTATTACGTTTACAATAATAGTAACAAGTACATTTTATAATAATAACATAGCAAGTACATTTCAGTGGATTTAAAAAAAAATTAGATGTGCTGACTTCTGAAGGCCAAAGGGTATCCTGAGACGACTCTTTATCTTTTTGCAGGGCCCCTTCTCATTTAACTCTCAAGTCTCAACCATGTCTCCTATGATTCAGCTGAATGAACTGAGGAGATATTACACAGATATGTAATTTCGCTTGGATCCAATGGATAACTATCTACTTCCTAGATTAATGTTGGTGGGGAAATATTTATTATATATTTTTTCACATATTGCGATGATATTTTGTAGACATGTGTGATGATGTGGTCAGTGGTGTAACGTTGCCTGTTGGCGCCCCTCCGCCGAAAATGCGCCCCCCTGTTGGCCCCTCCCCTTTTGGCGCCCCTCCCTAAAATTGAACAAATTAGGTGATTTTAGAGGATATGCTGGTAAAATCTCTAAAAAAGTGTGCTTCTAGAGCAAAACGCGCAGTTTTGCTAGTACCTAAGTTAAGTTTTTCAAAATTGTCCCACATTCAAACAACGATTTGGCGCCCCCCTCTAAGATGGCGCCCCCCCCCCTGCACAGCGGGGTCAGCGGGGCCCTTCGTTACTGGATGTGGTGTCATAAATTTTACTTTACTTTACTTTACTTTACAGTAAGCCTAAGTATGCTCGTTAGAAAAACTATGAACATGCTAGCTGTCTTTATTTTTGTTAGTCGGCTGACATCTTGGGTTGTACTGGATGTAACAAGTTTATTATCGGATGTCTACTTATATTTATTATCAGGGTTGCCGGGGGACCTTAAAAACCTTAAAAAACCTTAAAAACCTTAAAAACGGCAATTTTGGGCAAAAAACCTTAAAAAAGACGTGAAAAACGGGCAAATTTTCGGGTTTTTAAGGTTTTTTAAGGTTCCATACCTAAATTATACCTAGCTTGATGTAGATCTAAATGGATTTTCCGGATTAGTGAAATTTTCTGAAATTATACCTAGCTCGGTGTAGACCTGATAAGATTTTCTGAAATTATACCTAGCTCGGTGTAGATCTAATTGGGGTTTTCTGAAATTATAATTAGCTCGGTGTAGATCTAATTGGGTTTTTCTGAAATTATACCTAGCTTGTTGTAGATCTAATTGGGTTTTTCTGAAATTATACCTAGCTTGTTGTAGATCTAATTGGGTTTTTCTGAAATTATACCTAGCTTGTTGTAGATCTAATTGGGTTTTTCTGAAATTATACCTAGCTTGTTGTAGATCTAATTGGGTTTTTCTGAAATTATACCTAGCTTGTTGTAGATCTAATTGGGGTTTTCTGAAATTATACCTTCCCCCTTTAGATATGTCATATAATTGCAATTTCTGTAGCGGAAAACCTTAAAAAACCTTAAATTTAACTGTTTTGGACCTTAAAAATGGGTCAAAAGGGGCCTTAAAAGACGTGAAAAAACCTTAAAAATGTCTCTCAAAAATGCCGGCAACCCTGTTTATTATGATATCATTATTCATTGTAATGGCAATAAAATTTAAATTTTGTTTTACTTAAATTTTGTTTTACTTTACTAGGTGACACTGGCATTACTGGGAACATACACCAATGTATGTTTTTACAACAAAATTATAGTTTAAGACATCCATTCTGTGCAGTGTTTCCAATATTAGAATTTATGATGTGTGTTGATTGAATAATTGGTAATAAATTTAACTTTTGTTTTATTAACTTTTGTTTTATTATTAAATTTATTTTAGATCGTAGTGATGACTTCTGTCTGTGGTATGAAAAGATGCACCGGAGAACTGTCCCCTTCTATTGGCAAAAGACACTGTGATTATCAGCCATGTCCAGGTTTGTCCCCTCTTAACTTTTACAGCTTGCTGAATTGTTCAGAAAGTTCTCGATAAGGAAGATCTTGTTCCATGATATTTTTTCTCGCATTACATTTTCTTATTAAATTAACAATTACCAGTGACTAAACATCATGAATCACGAGAGGAGGTAGTATTGGTTGGCTTTCCTGCATTGTCATAAAGTTTTTCTTTTTTTACAGAATATACCAAAGCTCATCAGATGGAGCCTCAGCCAGATAAAACCAATGGCACTAAACTATGCACTCAAGGTAAGTATTTAATATAATATCAGATTCAATTTCAATCTTTAAAAATTTAGAGGTCAGGCTAGATGGTCAGATCATTAGTTTTCAAAAGTCCTATACTTACTAGAATTCCACACAGTGGCGTAACGAAGGGCTCTGCTGACCCCGTTGTGCAGGGGGTGCTATCTTAGCGGGGCGCCAAATCGTCGTTTGAATGTGGGACAATTTTGAAAAACTTAACTGAGGTACTAGCAAAACTGCACGTTTTGCTCTAGAAACACACTTTTTTAGAGATTTTACCGGCATAACCTCTTAAATCACCTAATTTGTTCAATTTTAGGGAGGGGCACCAACAGGCAACGTTACGCCACTGATTCCACATACTTGATAAATGTAAGATCAATCATGTTAACCCTAATGAATAGGGGTTTTAGGATAGAAAACCAATTTCACAAATATGCACCTCTAACTGTAGCCTATCTTGTAAAATATTGTGGGAAGTTAGGGACTTGGTGCTGCATATATCACAAAGTCAATGAAACATGCATGGCAGCACTTTCGATACTAGGGGCAGAGTTCGGGTCTTAAAGGGTTGTGTTAAGGTTGCAAGGTTAGGTGTAAGATGTGCACTGGGGTAAGTTCATTGGTGCTTATTTGGGACATCAGTTTTACTACTTGAATAAACTAACTAAGTTTCAACCAACAGTATGTGGTCTATAAGGTATTTCACTAGAATTGGGAATTGTGGACATGTAACCTGATATGCAATGTCCGATTATTCGATGATTTAAATTGTGCACCCAAACTGAACTGAAATTTTATGGAGTTGAAATTTTATGGAGTTGAAATTTTGTAGAGTAAAGTAATTTCCATGCGCAAAGTCAATTATGAAACAAGAACTTCAATGAAACAAGAGCTTCAATGAAACAAGAAATTTAATTTTAGCAAATTTTACAGAATCAACAAATTTAAAACAACGAAAATATAATGCTGGCATAATTTGGTAATGTAAATGTTAATTGGTATCAGGCCAAAAATAGGCATTTAAGCCGAGAACCTTTTGAAAATCCAGTCAGAAGAAACAGGCCGAAGTTTGCCAGTCAGCTGCAATCTCAAAACCAAGCTTTACTATAATTTTATATTGAACAATTAATGGACTTTTTGGGAGGGCAATATTGCTAAGCAGTATGCATACTTTGACATAACTTATGGAAGGTGTTAGTTGAAGGGTTACAATTTGTCATAAAGGAAATGAACGAATATTGCGAAAATTGGCGCAATTGTCGACTCAAAAATGGAGGGGTAAGGATTTAACATTTAGACAATTATAGACATTGTACTGCATGTATGGCAGTTGGGTGGCAAAAAACTGTCAGATGTTAGTATCTGTACAACTTTCAATCACTATCCTGAGCATTGATTATAACACTGAAGCCGATAATTAATGTGGTGTAAGGCCAAACACCAATAACTAGTTTTCGAGACTAAAGGTGTTCACTTGACAAGATCCTGCTTCTTTCTGAATTGTCCCTGTTCCTGAATAATGTAAACATGATATTAATACAATAGAAAAATGAGACTGCTAAAGTCAATATAATATAAGATATGTGTGACGAAGCAGCAAATAAAGACTTGCTCACTCTTATTGCTTTATATAACGGGATTTCACTTTTGTTAACCCCATTCGAGTTTACCTGATACTAACGTTGTGAAAACTAAAACCTCCCTAGTCAACTTGAACTATATATGCGGGGAGTGAAAAGCTGTGGCTCCAGGAAAAAAACTGAGGGCTCGAAGTTGAGATATTGACTGAGTTTCAGTAGAGCACAAGTATGTGGTAGAGATACGGGAACCTACCCCTAGATCATCTGATTTAGTGGACTGTATTATTGTATCTTTAATTTTAGACCTTAGTAATTATATATAGATATTTAGATTTTGTGTTGGTTAATTGTTTCAGGTATCTCCGAGTACTTGACCAGAGTTCTGTCGATTTGAAAGTGCAATGATGATTGTTCTATTTACTTTCATGATACAAAATTCGAAATTAGTACAATTCGAAATTTCACACAAATTTAGTATCGTTTAAGGAACTTTTAAAGTGTCTGTGAAATTTCAAAGTAGAAATTTTCTTACCTTTAGGTGCTGTCTCAGTTCTTCATTATATGGACCGTTGATCAATGGAATTGATAATCAAACGCAATGCACATATGCACTTTTGTCAGATAATCGCAGTCTTAAAGGGGGCTCAATATTGAAGCCCATATCATTATGATAAAAATATTTTTCGACTCTCTTTTAACGATGTGATATTTCTGGTCAATTGCTCGTGAAGTACTTTACAATGCTCCTAGAATATAAAATTAAGTACTTTTAAAATATGGTTTAGTTTGTGGGTAAGGGTGTCTCAAAATACATTTGTTATCAAGTTCGGAATTCAACTTTTGACTTTTGACCTTTGACTTAATATGCAAAAATATTTAACTTTCGTATTTTGAGACCCTCTGCTGTAATATTATTATAAAATACATCATACCCGAGAGCCAAACAGCTAAAGGTGTCATCAAATTTTGGAAAATGAACATATGGTTATACAACGAATAGGAAACCCTGTAAACTATAAATGAAATGGTTTGCATTGAGCTTGTCATTAAAATCCCAGTTACTACTATTAATATGACCAAACGACATACATTATTCAGCTGGCGAAGAATTTACTGATTTAAAAATCTCGATTTAGTTAGTGGCCTTACATTTTTAATTGTGTCTCTATGTAAGATTTTGAATTCAATCCTCTTCTCTATATCCATTATCCAACCAGTACAAGATGATCAGTTCATCCTCAAGTTGGTAATGTTTATATTGCCATCAACAGCTTGGTACGGCATTAGGTAGAAACTGGGACTGATAGGATACATGGATACTAGGATCACAAGGATACAAGGCTACAAGGATACATTTATTGAGTCACATAAGTGGTTATACTGAAATAAACATTGCATCATTCGGCAAGTATGGCCTCACAATTATGGTCCTTCAAGATCAAATCAACAATATTGTTTAATTTAGATAGTTGGAATAATAAATTTAGCCAGTCTCGCCTCTAGAATACACCTCTACAAGTGCTATATTATTGTTCCTAATACTATGAAAATGTCAGGGCTTGTAGTTCGTTTTAGTCTCGTTCTTCTTACAAGCTTTTTATAAGGGGGGGGGGGGGGGGGGGTGACATGTCTCCAATGTCTCCCGCACCTTATCTTTTCGAAAAAAGACGAAGACATTGGAGACATTGGAGACATTGGAGACATTGGAGAACATTGGAGGGGAAGCTTTTGGAGACATTGGAGGACATTGGAGGACATTGGGGACATTGAGGAAACAGCTTTGGAGACATTGGGAGACATTTGGGGACATCTTGGGGACATTGGAGTCTTTGGGAGACATTGGGGACATTAGGGACATAATAATGGATATTAGGGGCATTGGAGAATTGAGACACCAGCTTTTGGATCCTCGTCCTCCTCTTCCTACACCTCAGTACTCTCAGTCGTTCTCTCCTCGTCCTGAGTCTCATCTGGGTCCTCCTCTGGTCCTCTCCTCCTGGGTCCTCCTCATCCTCTTCATTACTCATACTCTTCATCCTCATTTTCAGTCTCCTCCTCAGTCTCTCTCATCTTATCGTCAGGCCCTCTCCTCATCTCAGTCTCCCAAGTCCCCTCCTCCTCAGTCCTCCCCAGTCACCCTCCTATATTCAGTCCTCCTCCTTCCTCCTCCTCAGTTTCCTCAGGTCCTCCTCCTTATCAGTCTTCTCCTGAGACTTTTGAAAACTAATGATCTGACCATCTAGCCTGACCTCTAAATTTTTAAAGATTGAAATTGAATCTGATATTTTATTAATAAATACTTACCTTGAGTGCATAGTTTAGTGCCATTGGTTTTATCTGGCTGAGGCTCCATCTGATGAGCTTTGGTATATTCTGTAAAAAAAGAAAAACTTTATGACAATGCAGGAAAGCCAACCAATACTACCTCCTCTCGTGATTCATGATGTTTAGTCACTGGTAATTGTTAATTTAATAAGAAAATGTAATGCGAGAAAAAATATCATGGAACAAGATCTTCCTTATCGAGAACTTTCTGAAAAATTCAGCAAGCTGTAAAAGTTAAGAGGGGACAAACCTGGACATGGCTGATAATCACAGTGTCTTTTGCCAATAGAAGGGGACAGTTCTCCGGTGCATCTTTTCATACCACAGACAGAAGTCATCACTACGATCTAAAATAAATTTAATAATAAAACAAAAGTTAATAAAACAAAAGTTAAATTTATTAAAGTTAGTTAAACCAATTATTCAATCAACACATATCATAAATTCTAATATTGGAAACACTGCACAGAATGGATGTCTTAAACTATAATTTTGTTGTCACTAATAATCTATTGACTTTCAAATTTAAATTTTAGTTAAGTATGAAATGCCACCACATCATAGTTAGGGTAAAATATTATTCTTAAATTATAAAATTGAGAAGATTGCTCTATGACTTAAAATTTAAAATTTTAGCAAAAGCTATCTAATTTTTAAACAGTTGGTTACAGTTTATGACAGTACTGGCATGAACAATTTTATTGTGGCTGGTGAAAGGACCCAGTTGCCTGAGTGTGAGTCTCATGAACACGTCAGGTCATGTTATCATTGTGTAATTTGCTGTAAAGATTCTAAGGTTTAACAATTTTGAGTGAATGAAGAGGTGTTATGATCATAGCTTTAAAACTATTCATAAGATACTGTAAAGTGATCTTCTGTTAGGCAGTAGAAGATTCATCTTCGGCATCACGTTTATAAGAAGAATTACATTTCGGGGGTATAGTATGGTTTTGATATATTTGGCCACACCCTGGTAGTACTATTCAGCTACAGATATAAATATCTATCTGTAGCTAACCTAGGGGAAGAAGTTCTACAAACATACATTGGTGTATGTTCCCAGTAATGCCAGTGTCACCTAGTAAAGTAAAACAAAATTTAAGTAAAACAAAATTTAAATTTTATTGCCATTACAATGAATAATGATATCATAATAAATATAAGTAGACATCTGATAATAAACTTGTTTTTGATTGAAATAAATTTTCGTGCACATACAGAATGAATGGTTAATAATTTAATATATATGTAGACCAAGGTCTGTGCACGGGATGCTTCCTGGAAGAATCCAGTTCTTTTAGCGGGGCTACCTAAAGCCAAATTGAGATATAATAATCATATTCCTAGGGAAATAATCAGAAATCGAATACCAATCAAATAATATGATATATAGGAGTAGTAACCATATTTACTATGCAAAATGCCCCAACCACATAGTGTAAATTTATATAGAATTCAAATTCCATATCATCATTAAACCTCAATAGTCAATATAATAGCCCAAGCAAAATTAAATAACTTCTTATATACCTTACTGTCATACTACAAATTAATTAAACATTTGAAATCTGTTAACCAGAGAATAAATTTCTAAACCTAATGCAAGTGAAATAATTTAGATGCAATAATGAATGCCTAATGTGAGTATCATCTGTCAATGTCCTTGTAAAAAAGTCTGTAAAAGAGAGATATGAGTAACTAATATAGAAGAAAAAACAGGAAGTTGCCGTCTGTTGAAAAATAAATAAAATATCTAGAATATAAATTAGAATATAAAATAACATTCAGTCAATGTGTCGTCAATAAACTGTACAATTATCAAATGTTAAAACTGGGTGATACAGTCACCAAAAATAAATACTAAGTATAATAAGTAAATAAATTAAATGTGGTCTATAAAACTACCACTAGGTATAATAGGTCAATAAATTAAAAGTGGTTTATAAAACTACCACTGTGCGAACCCTTTCTCCAGTTAAAACATGTCAGTCATGTGCAAAATCAATCAAAATGGTAAGGTGGTATAAAAAGGGAAAATCCTTTCGATACATCAATTATATATGCCTCAGATTTAAAAGAATTAGAAGATACTTAGTTATCGTCGACTATGATTGCAGTGTAAAATTTGTCATATGAATTGTCGACGGTATAATTAGGGTCTGTTGTTATAGATGAGAGTAGCTGTTTCTTATACGAATCACTAAAGCTTTTAACATCGGGCAGATTTCGTAGATCTGTTGGAACATTATTCCAACATTTTGCCCCCAAGTATTGAAAGTTTTTATGTGATAACTTGTTACATCCAGTACAACCCAAGATGTCAGCCGACTAACAAAAATAAAGACAGCTAGCATGTTCATAGTTTTTCTAACGAGCATACTTAGGCTTACTGTAAAGTAAAGTAAAGTAAAGTAAAATTTATGACACCACATCCAGTAACGAAGGGCCCCGCTGACCCCGCTGTGCGGGGGGGGGGGGGCGCCATCTTAGAGGGGGGCGCCAAATCGTTGTTTGAATGTGAGACAATTTTGAAAAACTTAACTTAGGTACTAGCAAAACTGCGCGTTTTGCTCTAGAAGCACACTTTTTTAGAGATTTTACCAGCATATCCTCTAAAATCACCTAATTTGTTCAATTTTAGGGAGGGGCGCCAAAAGGGGAGGGGGGCCAACAGGGGGGCGCATTTTCGGCGGAGGGGCGCCAACAGGCAACGTTACACCACTGACCACATCATCACACATGTCTACAAAATATCATCGCAATATGTGAAAAAATATATAATAAATATCTCCCCACCAACATTAATCTAGGAAGTAGATAGTTATCCATTGGATCCAAGCGAAATTACATATCTGTGTAATATCTCCTCGGTTCATTCAGCTGAATCATAGGAGACATGGTTGAGACTTGAGAGTTAAATGAGAAGGGGCCCTGCAAAAAGATAAAGAGTCGTCTCATGATACCCTTTGGCCTTCAGAAGTCAGCACATCTAATTTTTTTTAAATCCACTGAAATGTACTTGCTATGTTATTATTATAAAATGTACTTGTTACTATTATTGTAAACGTAATACTACTATATCTACTATACTAGTGTTATTTCAGCGTATTTTTCATCCTAAGATCATATAGATTTGTTAGTGCAGGAAATTTACTTTGTTTTACTATTGTAAACGTAATACTACTATATCTACTATACTAGTGTTATTTCAGCGTATTTTACATCCTAAGATCATATAGATTTGTTAGTGCAGGAAATTTATTTGAAGTACAGTGGGGAGCTTGAGGGAGCATAAATGTGGGATTATTATTTAGTCGCTAAGTGCCCAATAGAAAGTTGAAATTTTAAAATATAACTATGACTATTTTGTAAGCAAAAACGTTTGCAAACAATAAAGAAATTATTCAAACAATATACACATAATATAACAATAACCCTATATAAAAATTCAATATAAAAATTCAATAAAAAATCTTAGAAAATTTCATAAAAACCCTTTGTAGTAGTAGTAAAAGTAGCCAATTCAATTTGTTGGCTCTAAATTAAAATCTAAATCTGACATTTTAACTATACTACCACTTTTTACCCCTCTTTCTCCTCTAAGAGCAATAATTGTCGGTTTTAATAAGTCAAATCTTATTCTTTTCCTGATAATAGTCACTACATCGCTTCAATGTATCTTTGGCCTGACATTTTCTAGACATTCTATCAGCTAACTTTTTGAAGAACGTATTTGCTTCTCTTCCCGTTTGCAAACTGACTTATTGTCCTTTATAAATTCAATAAAAGTATTTAATTTCAAAACTTTCCGT